AATGTACGATTTTGTCCATTTTAATTGTACGATTTACGATTAATTTGTGTATTCAAGTGCGAATACATGCGATGGAGACGGAGATGGAGAGTTTTGTTTTCTTGGAATTATATATTCAATACTGTTGTTGTTTTTTTTCGATACTCCTCGTAGAATAATAACAAATCTATTCGTTATGTTGTTGGCCATACCATTTGAGCATTGGTTGTTGGTAAATTTATTTCAGCCATGTCCAAAGTCTTTGACAATATACCCCCAATTTAATGGAGGTTCATAACGTACGTTCGTAACCGAACATACATAATTATGTACGTGTTTGGATCAAACATTAACCGTATGGTTCTCAGCATGGACCGGGTGTTTGGTGTGAGAGAAAAAAATATATAATTTGAGCTAGATCACATGGAAATCGAAGAAAAAAAATTAAGAAACAGCAACACGTCTGATTGTTGGTAATAACAAATGTTCCAGCACCATGCCAACCCACCGCTTCCCCACCGATCTCCTCTAAGAGGGGGTGTAACAACAGTTGACAATTTCAATAAACATTTTCAAGCAAACACTCAAGAATTTTAAAGGCGTAGAAGAAAAAAAACCTCTCATACAAATGTCCACAAATAATGTTTGCGGGTTCTTTCAGTTGGTGGCCAATTTGAATTGGAGGAGCTCGACCATTTGGCAATTTGCTGGTTTTTTTGTTTAATTTATTAATTACTCGTTTATTTTTTGAGTCGACTTTAATGTTTTGTAATTTAACAAAAACGACAAAACAGAAGACAAACAATCATTTGAATGAGAATAAATGACATCGGATCCAACCAACCAGCCAGACATTTGCGGCTTACAAAACCATAAACATGTGTTATTTTTTTTCTCTGCGCACCGATCAGACTGTTAATGTTTCTGCTACATTGTTTTGTTGCTGGCTTGGCAAATTTATTGTCAAGATGCCGTGGAATGTGGTGTAAAATAATTAATTATCATTTTTTATTAACAAAAAATGTAAATGGTTTTGGGGAGTGCTAAAATTGATAATGTCGAAATGTAATGTTGTAATCAGGAGATGTTTCAAGAGATAGAGGTAGAGAGAGAGAGGAGGAAGGGTCTTCTACAAGAAGACCTACAGGTCTTCTATAAGAAGACCCACAGACATTCTCTAAGAAGACCAACAGGTCTTCTATGGGAGACAACCAGGTCTTCTATGAGAAGACCTACAGGTTTTCTATAAGAAGACCTACAGGTATTATATAAGAAGACCTACAGGCATTCTATAAGAAGCCCCACAGGCATTCTATAAGGAGACCATCTTGTCTTCTATGAGAAGACCTACAGGTCTTCTATGAGAAGACCTACAGGTCTTTTATGAGAAGACCTACAGGTCTTCTATGAGAAGAAGGAAGACCTACATGTCTTCTATAGGAAGACCTACAGGTCTTCTATAGGAAGACCTACATGTCTTCTATAGGAGGACCTACAGGTCTTCTATAGGAAGACCTACAGGTCTTCTATGAGAAGAAGGAAGACCTACATGTCTTCTATAGGAAGACCTACAGGTCTTCTATAGGAAGACCTACATGTCTTCTATAGGAGGACCTACAGGTCTTCTATAGGAAGACCTACATGTCTTCTATAGGAAGACCTACAGGTCTTCTATAGGAAGACCTACATGTCTTCTATAGGAAGACCTACAGGTCTTCTATAGGAAGACCTACAGGTCTTCTATAGGAAGACCTACAGGTCTGCTATGTGAAGACCTACAGGTCTTCTAAGAAAAGACCTACATGACTTCTTTGAAAAGGCCTCCAGGTCTTCTACAAGAGCTACTGGTCTTCTATGAGAAGATCACCAGATCTTCTATGAGAAGATCTCCAGATCTTCAATGAGAAGATCTCCAGATCTTCAATGAGAAGATCTCCAGATCTTCTATGAGAAGATCTCCAGATCTTCAATGAGAAGATCTCCAGATCTTCTATGAGAAGATCTCCAGATCTTCAATGAGAAGATCTCCAGATCTTCTATGAGAAGATCTCCAGATCTTCAATGAGAAGATCTCCAGATCTTCAATGAGAAGATTTCCAGATCTTCAATGAGAAGATCTCCAGATCTTCAATGAGAAGATCTCCAGATCTTCTATGAGAAGATCTCCAGATCTTCAATGAGAAGATCTCCAGATCTTCTATAAGAAGAACTACAGGTATTCTATAAGAAGACCTAGAGGTCTTCTTTAAGAAGAACTACAGGTCTTCTATAAGAACATCTACATGTCTTCTATAAGAAGACCTACAGGTGTTCTATTAGAAGACCTATAGGTCTTCTATAAGAAGATATATAGGTTTTTTATTATAGATTATTATAGATTACCACCAGTTATTCTACGAGAAGACCACCAGATCTTCTAGGAAAATACCTATAGATCTTCTAGAAAAAGACCTCTAGGGCTTTTATGAGAAGATCTCCATATCTTCTATGAGAAGATGTCCAGATTTTCTATGAGAGGATCTCCAGGTTTTCTATGAGAAGATCTCCATATCTTCTATGAGAAGATGTCCAGATCTTCTATGAGAGGATCTCCAGGTTTTCTATGAGAAGACCTCCAGATCTTCTATGAGCCGGTTAGCCGGTGTGGGACATACCTATACATACTCACACTCAAGTCCCGGCCGAAGGCCTTCTACGTACAACAACAGTTAAATTAAAAAAAAAAAACTTTAGTTCGCGTAGCCGGTCACGAAAAAGATATTAGCACAAATTATAGGATTTCATGGAAAGGTAAAAGCGTCAGCTATAATTTTCATCAATTTTGTTGACCCCCATAATGAGCCCTTTTTTCGAATTTTTGGGGTTTTCATAAAGAATTCGTGTTGAAAAAAATCGATAATTTGACTATAACTACCGAACCGCTTATAAATAACCCCATCATGTGACCATTGTTAGATAGGTATTTTCTTAAGCTCTGTATCTATATCGGGTAAGTGGATCCGGGTCCAGTACTGGTCATGAACCCGGATTTTCGGAACAAAAATCTGGGGTCCCGATTTCTTCCCCCTAGAAAAAAAAATTGTTTCCCGAAATCAGGGTAAAAATGCCTACCTCTGAAAAAAAATCGAAAAAATTTAAGAGTTTTTACTAAACTAGAGTTGTTCCCTTTAAGGTGTCAACTCGGAAAAGTTCGAGGAAAAATGTATCAAAAAAAATTAGAAAATATTTTTGGTTTTTGATACCCTCAGCCATACGGCTAGAGATGGTATAAATAATTGGATATGACCAAAATGTACCTCCAATTTGGCAAATTGTAATATTTTACTAAACTTAGATTGAGTTTGGTGATGTACAGTTTTAGGCCACCTCTTCTGCCCACTCTCCCCACAAAACTCCTAAATTTTGTGAAAAAATACAAATCTCTCATTGAACCATTGAAATATTTGGATAAGACGTAGTTCCGGTGCAAAAGTGGGCAGTAGTTGTTCACTGAACAATTGATCCAGTCGATAATATTAGCTCCCGTAAAGTAGGAAATCAATACCCGATTTTCTTCAAATTTTTCACATCCTAACATATATAAAATGTCTATATCGGACCTACCTTTTAAGTACCTAACCAACAAAAGTTTCAAAAAAAAAATCATAACGTGGAAAATATTGATCGACTAATCCTCGTACTTCCTCTCGAAATATAAAAATTTTGAATAATAATAGAACCAGTTCAATAACTTGCCGATTTTCTTTAAACTCTTCATATTCCAATTCAGACATTCTGCTAACTTTCAGAAAATTCGAAATAATTCCTCAGTTTCTTTATACCCTTCACCATAGTATGGAGGGTATATTAAATTTGTCATTCCGTTTGTAACAACTCGAAATATACATTTTAGACCTCACAAAGTATATATTCTTGATCAGCATAAAATTCTATGTCGATTTAGGGATGTCCGTCCGTCTATCCATCTGTGGAAATCACTCTAGCTTTCGAACGAAATGAAGTAAGTTGATAAAAACTTACTGCAGGACTTTTAGTATTAAAAATGGGCCATTTAGGACCACATCTTCGTGTACGGTACCTCTCTATATAACGGTACCTCTCGATATTCGGTATTTTGATGATTTTAGCAACATTATTTACCGGAATTGTTTCAAATTTGGTATTTGAAGTTCCTTATGGATACTACAGCCTAACTCCGAAAATTGTCTGTGCAGGACCACGTCTTCGCATAGCCCCCATATAACGGTACCTCATGATATTGGGTATTTTGATTATTTTAGCGACATTATTTACCGGAACCATTTAAAATTTGGTATTTGAAGTTCGTAATGAATACTACAGCCTCAGACAGAGAATTTTCTGTGCAGGTTCAGGTCTTCTTATAGCCCCCATGGTACCTCCCTATATTCGGTATTTTGATGATTTTAGCTACATTATAAGTAAATTTTTTTCAAGTTTCGCATTTTTAAATATTGTAATAGCTTATGACAAAAGTTGACTAGGCAGGTCAACGTCGTCGTATAGACCCTAATATACGGCTACTTTCGGTATTTATGAGATTTTAACAGAATTTTTAACGGATTTTATTTTTTTGAAAATTGTCAAATTTGTACCAAATAGTGGAGGGTATTCAAAGTTCGGCCCGGCCGATTTTACAGCTTTTTTTAAGCAAATCTGGGAAACTAAATGATTATTTTTTGCCAAAAAAAAAAATATATTGAAACCGTTTGGTTTTTATGATCTCAGGCATAACAATTCTTTATCAATATTTTAATACGTTCTGGTTTTTACCAGTTTGATCCAATCTCCGAAAAAATTACTTGCCATTTATCCAAAATAAATTCTCTTTTAACGTAATTCTAAACAAAAAAATCTATTATATAATTCAAGAAAATGAACTCCAAAGCTCATTTGTCAATGGCATTGATTTAGATTCTTTAAAAAAAAAAAAAAAACTTTACCAAAAATAAACTACTTTATTGCCTAAAGGCTTAAATACATAACAGCTAAAAGCTACATACCGTTTTTATCTAAATATTCTCTGAACAGCAAATAAAAACCAAAAGGAGATTAGATACCTGAAATGGAAAAAAAAGAGAAAAAAAAGTTCAATGAATATTTCAAGTTCAGTGTTAACGGAAATCAGACAGTGACTCCCACAATTGAAAAAATATGGAGATAATGTAATCTAATACAATTGTTGGCTAAAATCTCGAAAAAAATACACAAACTTGAGTTTATAAATCTGTTAATATTTTAATGTCATTGTGCCAAGACCACCACCAACAACAACTACACAAAAATCTGAACTCTGAATAATGACTTTGACATTATGTCGCCATTACTTTGGCAGCTTCTTAACACCACCGCCACCACCGCCATAAACTGTCAAAGGCGATTTGAATGAATTCTTTCAGATTCGAGAAAACTCAAACCTGTCAGATTATAAACTGAACGAGTTATTAGCGGACAGCTAGAATTACTGGCATCCAACGTAAATATGGATTGTTAATGTGTTCAGATTGACATTCTCAAGTCATTCACAGGTATTTACCATAACATTTTGCCAATCACTTGAAAAGCTTTTAATAAATCGTCAAAAGAATGCCAAGAGCAGCAGACAAAATATTCAATAAACAAATCCAATACAAATTCATTCAACTTCTTTGTTGGGTACTTGTTTTGGGGGATATTTCTTTTGTTGGAGAAACTACGACTACTGACAATTGAATGGCTGCCTAACGAATTGCGAAAATAAAATCCTATCGAAATAAAATTTAATTACAATTTGATTGATGACAGGCAATGCAATAGCAAATTTTTATTTCAAAATTAAAAAACCATAAATTTCTTTGGCGGAGAAATGGAAACCATACTAGCTTTGCCTTGGGCCATTAATGGTTGGTATGTTTTTGAGAAAGTGGCAATGTTACCTCCCCCTAAAAAACCATAAATTCATCTACATCATCAGCCATTGATTAGGCATGACAGAGAATTTCTCCCCTCCAAAATAAAAAAAAAAAACAAGAAATATTAAAACATATTTATGTTCCATTTCATTTCACTTTTCACAATATTTTTTCTGTTCGCCTTCAATATCCGGATATATGGTTGATGAATTTCTTTGCCTTTGCCAAAGTTCAATTATGAAATTATTCTTCATAATTTTAGATACCTACATACCACCTAACTATTGTTCGGGTATGGTCAATTACTTCTACCTACCACACCACTAATCGCAAAGTCTGTTAAGTCCCTATCGTTTCACACACGAACTTGTTTGCATTGAAAGTTTGAAGCTGTCAGCAAGTTAGTTTGACGTTGGGTTTTTTAAGAAATAAATCAAGGGAGAAGTAATGTTTTTGAATGACCAGTAGAAGCATAAAAAGGGCTTGGTTGCCACTCCTGGAAGAGTAATTGTCGCACGCACTCACCAATACATGCATACCTAATTCATTGGAAAACCAAATGTTGGGAAATTTATCCATAACATAATGTTTACCACATAATTACCGCAGCTAATCGAGTTAAGTTGGCTGCAAACCCAATGTTTTGGGGAATTAATGTCAAGGGAAATTGAAAAGGATGGCTTGTTTAAAATATATCAAATTAATAATTATTAGCCCAAATTTCAATATCTGACAAAGTTGCCAAAAATATTATACAACATAGAGAAAAATATTATTTGAGCTCTCACTTAAATTATTTCTTATTCCATTATGCCTTTCACGGTTTCAAAAGAGCATTTATTTCCATAGCAATTCGAGTTAAGTTGGCTGCAAACCCAATGTTTTGGGGAATAAATGTCAAGGCAAATTGAAAAGGATGGCTTGTTTAAAATACATCCAATTAATAATAATTTGCAGTATTTTTAATATCTCATAAAGTTCACAAAAAAAAAAAAAATACAACATAGAGAAAAATGTTATTTGAGCTCTCATTTGAATTATTTCTTATTCTGTTATGCCTTTCACTCTTTCAAAAGAGCATTTAATTTCCATGGCTAAACGAGTTAAGTTGGCTGCAAACCCAATGTTTTGGGGAAGTTATAAAGAAGTGTTTATTTAAAATGTTTCGAATTAATAATTATTAGTGCTTATATTAACGTCTCAGAATGTTGAAAATATATACAAGATGATGAAAAATATTATTAAGCTTTCACTTAAAATATCTCTTGTTCCATTTTGCTCACAACTGCTTTTAAACACAACTTAATTTCTAAAAGAGTTAAGTTGGCTGCAAGCCAAATATTTTGCAGAATAAATACCAAGGGAAAATTAAAAAGAAGTATTTTTTTAATGTTTCAATTTGATAAAATTTAGTACAAATTTTTATGCCTTACAAAGTTAATAAAGCTATGCAACGTAACGAAAAAATATTATTTGTTTTCTCAATTAAATTACTTCTTGTCTTATGTTGCTCACCACTATTCTAATGCGGCATTTAATGACCATGACTAAACGAGTTAAGTTGGCTGCAAATCCAATATTTTCAAACAAAATTGTGATATAAATTAATTTCATATTCCTACGTACCTAATATGCTTGAGTATGGTCAATTACTACTACACATCAACCACAAAACATCTCATGCTTTATATTGGAGTTTGTCAGCAATTTAGTTTGACGGTTTTTTATAAATGAGTCATGTGAGGAGAGAAGTTGTTCAATGACCAGAAGAAACATTAAGAGGACTTGGTTGCCACTCCTACCAAATTGATTGGGAAATCAACGGTTGGGAAAATTATCCATAACATAATCTTTACCAATTAATAACCATGACTAATCGAGTTAAGTAAGCTGCAAATCCAATATTTTGCGGAATAAATGCCAGGGGAAAATTAAATGTTTTTTTTGAATCTATTGAATTAATAATTTGTAGTACTAATATCAATGTTTCAAAAAGTTGACTAAAATAATGAAACAACGTGAAAAATTTAACTTTAGTTCTCCCTTTAATTATGTTTTTGTACTCTCTTTGTTCACTTAATATCCATGGCTAAACAAGTGAAGTTGGCTGTAAATCAAATATTTTGGGGGAAAAGAAAATTAAATGAATTAATCAAGAGTCTACTTCGATTTATCTTCGTACTTTTTCAGTTTTTTCGCATAAAAGAGTGAATTTATTCTTACTCTCCAAAAGAACGGAATAATAAATCTCAATAGAAAGCAGAAAAACGTACATAAGTTTAATCACTTAAAATTCGCGGGCAATTGAGTTAAGTTGTCTGCAAATGCAATATTCTGCAAGTTAAAATTATAGCAAAGTCTAAAAAAAAATACAAAAATAGAACAGAAAACGAGTACAAAAAATAGAGTTTATTCTAACAAAAATACGGTTTATAGTCGGACAAGCACACTGATTTAATGTAAACTGCTCAAGCTTATGGTTACTCTGCTTGAGTTTATTACATTCTATCTTCTTACTTTTTACTCCATTTTCGTATAAAAAAGAATAAGTAAAAAAGCAGTAAATTTTACGCTGATCTACTTTGTTGGGTCTGACATGGAGGAGTTACAAACGGAATGACAAAATAAATATACACTCCATAGTATGATGGAGGGTATAAAAAATGTTCTTAATCTCCCAAAATAACCGAGTAGTCAATTTCATTGGAAAAAACAAACAAACTTTAGTTAAGTTGGCTGCAAATGCACGTTATAACCATGGACAATCGAGTGAAGTTGGCTGTATTACAATATTTTGCAAGTAAAAAAAATTAGCAAAAATTGCATGTAATTCTAGTCGGACGATTTTTCGAGAGAAAAAATTTCATTTATTTTATATTTTTTAGAGCTGTGCAACAAACTCCCCTTTATTTACTTTACCTTTCAATCACTTTTCTAATTAATTTGCTCTATAAAATATTGTAGATGTTTCGATCATCTGTCTTAGGGTTACTTGTTTACGTTTGTTATGCTAGAGTATGCTACATTCTATATTCACATATTTTTCTTTAAGAAAAAGTTATTCCTCCAAAGAATTCCAAAAAAAAAAAAAAACGTACACAAACTTAACCATTTGACATCACTGGACAATTGAGTTAAGTTGTCTGCAAGTGGGCTCAATATCCATGAATAATCGAGTAAAGCTGGCTGCAAATTCAGTATTTTCAATAAAATTAATGCAATAACTTCAAGTAATAACAAAAACAGAAGAATAAAAATAAAGAAAACAAATAAATGGGGCTTGTTACCGTTGCTCATTCCTTTTTTATATTTTTTAAAACGCTGGCACTTTGTTTACATAACTTTTCAATGAGTTTGCTGGCAAAGAAAATAAATTTGCTCAGTAAAAGGTTATTGCTGATCATCTGTTTTATTAATAACTTACGTTTATGCATGGTTAAATTATGTCAGTTTAACCCCATTTCGAAAAGTAATATACAGCTCTGCATTTTTATGTAATTTACCTTTTCAGATTTAATTTCATTGAAAACTGGTTGCCATCTTTGATTTGTGTGTGGATACCTAAATAAAAATTTTGACAATGAGATGTTGTCAAATGTATAATTTTGAAAATTTTGCAAGCATATGACTGGTTGATGTTGCCTTCTTCACTTTACCGCGCATTTATGGTTAGTCTGATAGAACTTCTTCCATTCGCATGGAAAAGAAAAATTGTTTTTACATTCCCAAAGGAACTGAGTAGTAAATTTTATAATCACTTAAACCATAGGCAATTGAGTTAAGTTGGCTGCACATGAACATAATATGCCTGGACAGTCGAGTTAAGTTGGCTGCAAATGCAATATGTTTTGTAACAAATGTTGAGTGGAAATAAAAATGGAAAATTGGATATAAAACGGGAAAGAATGGATTAAGAATTCTGAAATTCGACATGGGCATCGTCCTTGGTGTAAAGTGGTCGAATGGGGTACTCAGACACAAAATTTCGAAAGCTGAATTTTTGTCTAAAATGAAAATGACGATTTCTGGAAGGATAACAATTTTTGTAAAATTTTTTACAGAAGGTTTTAAGTTAACTTTATTATCTAGATACTATATGTAGCTCCAACAACTATATAATATTAGGATTTCCATGATACGATCGTACAGCGCACATCATTCATGCCGAG